CAGTCCTGCAGTTTTTTTTAAAAGATAGTTTTAAAATTGTAATTTTTTTTTTTTTTTTTGGTCTCATTTCTACTTGCTTCCATTTGTTTGTTCTGTCTCCTCTTTCCTTCTCCTCTTTCCCTTTCTTTCTAATTTACAGCCCAACTTTATTCCAAAAAAGACAAAAACATAATATAGAAAATTAAAACAGAAAAAAAGGAAAATAAAGGTAGAAAAGAGGTAGAAAAGAGGACCATAGAAAAGAGGACCATAGAAAAAAGGTAGAAAAGAATACGAGGACCATATAAAATAAACACTTGCTGAATGTGAGCCACAAATTTAGCTCCAAATGGCCTAGAATTAGTACAAGGAGGAAGATACAATCAGCTAGGTATTTAGTGTTTTTAGAGTAAAAACCAAACAGCATTTATCCTAAATTGAACATTGAACTGTAATGACAAGCAACCTTTTTTTTTTTTTGGTCTTTTGAGGCAGGGTCTCACTATGTAGTTCAGGCTGGCCTCGAGGTTAGTTTGTAGCCCAGGCTGGTCTCAAACTCCCAGCTGCCTCGGTGTTCCAAGGCCTAGTGTTGCATGTGGGCACTGTCCGCTGTCCTTAGGTAGGGTTGGGTCTTCACTGACAGAAGCCCCCTGGTTAGGTAGGAGTGGCACATAGTGTACTCTTCTGGTGAACTCTGCACTGCAGCGATCCTCCCACCTCAGCCTCCCGAGCGTTGGGATTACAGGTGTGAGCCATCACGCCCGACCAAAAAACAACTTTTTTACTTTTTGTTTTTCCGGTACTGGGGATCGAACCCACGACCTGCCTGCTTGCAAGGCAGGTGCTTAGGCCGCTGAGCTAAATCCCCAGCCCCCAAAAATAAGGTAACAGATTTCACAGATTCATAGGGATTGGCAAGGTGCAATCAAGAAAAAATAGCTCAGTGGCATGGAAGTCCTGAGGTTGATTCGTAGTACCAAAAAAAGAAAAACAAGAAATAAAAAATTAATTCTGCAAAGACCAATAAAATGCCAGCTATGGAAAGGGAAAATTTGGCTTAATCTAAAGACAGAATAATAAACATAGACAAAATACTTTTCGGATTCTCTGGTCTGGAAAAAGAGACTCGGGTTATTGATACAGGTAAAGAAACTCCCAACTTCTAGTAGATGTCCAATATGAGTTCATGTTTTCTAAAATCGAAGAATGAATTTTAGAACAGTGGAGGTTAAGAGCAGAATGTATTTATTGAGAAAAAGAAAGCTTCTGTGAGAGACAAGGGGCCCTGAGTGGATTGCCAAAGACCATACCTTTTCTAGGGGTTTTATAGAGGAAAGTTCCAAGGTGGGGAAAAATGGGAAATTCGAAGGTGGGCATGAAGTGGGACAGAACTATGGTCAGTCAGTACTGAGTATGAGCACACTGGGTGAATGATATGGGGATGACAATGCGTGGTATGTACCATTGTTGCCCCAGATTAACATGTTTTGAAATTGTTAATTTTTCCTTTGAAATAAAACGGATTTGACAAAAAAGAATTACGAGTTTGTATAATTGCTCAGGTAAAATTGATTAAATCAGCAGCAACTGGGGAAGCAAGTTATTTAGTAAGGGGCATAAATAAAGAAAAAGGTCTTGGCTGGGGATATAGCTCAGTGGCATAGCATCTGCTTGGCAAGTATGAGGCCTTGACCTGAGTTTGATTCCTGATACCAACAAAACACTAGGACCTTTTCCTGTGTGTGTGGGGGTGGCTTAGTGGCTCCTTCTGGCTTTCTCAAGGTGTCCCTTACCTAATTTAGAGTATCAGTGTTTACCCTTAGGAAGTATGTGGGTATATTTGTTTTATTTTTCTCTTGAGGTCTGGCCCACAGCAGGAGGTGTCTATCCCCTACAGTTGTAAGGTATCTGTTTTCTGCATTAGTTTTTTTTTTTTTTTTTGTCTTTTTCCTTTTTATTGGTACCAGGGATCGAACTCACGACTGCCTGCTTGCAAGGCAGGCGCTTATGCAGCTGAGCTAAATCCCCAGCACCATCTGCATTAGTTTAACAGATAGATTAGTTTCTTAACAAAATATTCTAACCTGCTGCTCAAGATACCTTGACCCGTTGGGGATTTAGCACGGTGGCATAAGCACCCGCCTGGCAAGCACAAGGTTACAAGTTTGATCCCTGGTACCAAACAAACAAAACAAAGATTTTGGTATCAGGTATTTTGTCTTAACCCTGGCAAAGCTGAGTAATATACTTCCCCATGGCCAAGAAGATACCTTGATCCTCTTTAATCTTCCTAAAGTCACTTGGTTCCTTTCTCTGGGACAATCAGATGGAGAGATATCAAGACAGGAGCTGGGCTTTCCTATTTAGTACTTGTTCAGCATATACCCTGTGCCCAGAGAGCTGGTTGCAAAATCTTAAGTTATGAGGGTGCAATGCCTTAGACTAAAACAGGCTTCCCTGTGTTTCAGTTGATCAAATGAGACTCCCATCAGACATTGGTGAACGTCTAATGTCTTTCACACCAACAAATAACTGAATCACATGAGTTCCCTTGCTTCATTTTCTTCAGACCAGTTCAAAGTCTTTTGGTAACTTGGAGTTTTTAGGAGAGGGATAAAGGATAAATTTGGTGCATAACTGAAAGATTAAAAAGCTGCACTTTGCTTACTTAAGGAATAGAAGGCAATGAAACAAGCAGGGCTGTGTGAAGTTCTGTTCTGTAGTCTGGTGTAATCAAGTGCTAAGGAGGCTGAGACTGCTTCCAGAAGGTAGCACCAGAGACTTTAGGGTTGGTTTTATACTTCACTTTGTTGCATTTTGTTGTTTTCTTATTTTACTGTAGCCTTTGAGTAGGTAGGTAGTAAGTATCTAATTGTGGTTTTTTGATTGTTTTTGTTTTTTGAGACCAGAAACTTAGTATGTAGTTCATGCTGACCTTGAACTCACTTTGTAGCCCCGCCTAACCTTGAACTCTCAAGAGTCCTGCCTTAAGGCCTCTTGAGTGCTGGGATTACAGGCGTGTGTCACTGCCTGTCTATGCGGATTATATTTATGATTTATTGATACTGTCCTTTGATACATAAAAAAGTTAATTTACCTATTTTTAAATTGGTTGTTGCTGTGCTACCCAGACTGGTTCCTTAGCTCAAGTGTTACTTCTATCTCAGACTTCTAAGTAGCTAAGACTATAGGTATGTACCACCATATCCAGTTTATTTTTTTCACTGAGTTTGAAAGAAGTATTTAAAACATACATCAAATTGTGTAGAACATGAATATTCATTTATTGCCTATTAACATATCTTAATATGCTGACATTTACCTTATTTGAAGTAAGCATAAAGCTGGGTAGGGTGTTGATTACTTTCTCATTGCTGAGACAAAATATCCAATGCCCAAAAATTAACAGGGGAAAGGTTTATTTAACTTAAGTTTGTGGAGGTTTCAGTCCATAATCAGCTGGCTCCAAGGCAGGGTGGCATGCACAGGGGCAACACTTTAAGGTGGTAGAAGATAGGAAAGCAGCACGAGCAAAAGAGGGCACAGCAAACCTCTTTTCCTTCTATATATTGTAAGCAGGCTATATTCCTCTTCCCCGCAAGTGTAGCACTCTTGTACACAGGATGAGGTAGTTTATAAAGTGAAGGCCCTCATTCTGAGTGGCTTAAACTTTTAACCTTCTCAAGTTGACACAATGTACCGACCATTACAGTAGCATATGCCTATAATCCTAGCACTTGGGAGGCTGAGGCAGGAGAATCACTGAGTTAAAGGCCAGCCTGAATTAGGTAGTGAGAAACTTATCTCAAAAAGCATAATTGAGGTTGCTGTTTTCTTTAAATTTGGCATGAATAAATTTGGTAAGAAGAGGGCTGTGAAGATTAAATTACTGCTTATAACGTAATTAACGTGACATTGAAAGTGAGAGATTGCATGGTTTAAGTTTTCTGCTCTTGACCGGGTGTGGTGGCTCACACCTGTAGTTCCAGGCTGCGGCAGGAGGATAGTTGTGAACTCAAGGTCAGCCTGAACTGCACAGTGAGACCCTGTCTCAAAAAGACCAAAAAAAAGTTTTCTGCTCCTGAGACCATAAGGCTCAGACTGGTTATGAGGAAACCCACCCTATTCAGGAATAGGGTGGCATACATCGAGTGATGTAGTAATTAGTTGTGCTTTTCTCTTTCAGTGTGCCCAGCTGGGTGGAAGCCTGGCAGTGATACTATCAAGCCTGATGTCCAGAAGAGCAAAGAGTATTTCTCCAAGCAGAAGTGAACATTAGGCCATGAGAACAAAAGCTCTTTTGTACTTTAATTTTCATGTTTAAATACAAGATGTGGTGTGGGGTGATAACATGCCTTTCATATAGAAGCTGGGGAAACCCGTCTTTTCTCGTACTGGTAGTAATGGTCTGAGCTGCACGTTGGGGTAGACCATATAATGTATGATGTACCAGTAGCAGGGCCAACCCCATTCATTGACCTTTTATAGTGTCTATTAAACTTGAACTGAGACCTTGGTGTTTATTTTGAGACAATAGCGGATTTTCCCAAATGAGAGCTGCTTCATAATTAGGATTATACTTGGGGAGATAACAGGTAGACCCAATTGAGTTGAACAGTGGTTTTATTTTTGTTTCACTACACCTGTCATACTCTAGTGTTGGCTAAGGAAGTGCAACCTTATAGGACAGGATTACAGGTTATGGTTGCAATGAGATTACTTCGACATCTATATTTACATAACTGGGAAGGCTCCCTTGGAAGCACAGGTTTTGGCATCTTAGGACAGATAAGTAAGAATTGGAAGCTTTTGTCCCTTTGGAATTGGGTGGGAGAAGCAAGCACGGGTAACCTTGGGTAGAAGTGCATTTGTGAATTCCAGTCAGTTCTTACACTCACACCCCATTTATCACAATTACCCTCAGTGTCTTAGCCACTCTAGACTGTCCACCCCTGTATATTACAGATGAGACCTATAAATAGCAGCACAGGATTCTAGACCTTTAGTCATAGCCAGTACACTTTTACTATCTGTTTCAGCATGTTTTAGATGCCATTTATTCAGTCTTCACAACTTAAGTGGTCACTAGTTAGCCCCTTAGGGTCTTAACTAGTAGTTAACCTTGGGAGTACTACAAAGACTTACAGTCCCATCCATAGTCCAAGGCAGGTGAGGGTTCTTTGACTTGTCTTTACAATTTAAGCTTTTTCTTTTTTTCCTTTTTTATCGGTACCAGGGATCGAACTCATAACTGCCTGCTTGCAAGGCAGGCGCTTATGCTGCTGAGCTAAATCCCCAGCGCCTTAAGCTTTATTCGTAAAAGATTTCTTTAACCGAAGGAGTTATTTCCTGTAGGAAATAAAACCTTGCTGTGCCAAAGCCATTTAAGTCCTGGCAAGTACCACTATAAGTGGGGTCCTACAGAGAGTGATACTAAGGGCCAGGGGATGCAGGTGGTGAGGCACTGGGACTAAGCCAGCTTCTGCCTCTTGGCTTCTCAAGTTTGGTCAAGGGAATTTCAGGAGGTGTACTGGGCTCCTTGGAGGGCTGGACTAAGCCTAATAGGGCCAGGCGTTCAGCAGGTGGTGTGGAAAAGTAAGCCTTCTGTTCTTCTGAGTACCGCTCCTGGGGTGCCACAGCATCCCGATAAGTCCAGTCTTGCCAATGGAAATTGAAGCTTTCAAGCAGGTTAATTCTGTCAGCTCTTGAAGGCACACAGTCAGGGGGCTTTCTGCGCAGTAGATCTGGTACTTCGACCCCTGGCAGCAACACCACCCCTCTGATGGCAAACCAACCTCCAAATCGAGGGTGTATGCACACACCTGCTATGTGCTAGGGGGAACAGGAAAAACAAGGTCATTTTATTACCTTGACACCAAATCCAACTATTCCCATTACCCTTGATCACTTATCTCACTTCCATAAACTCCCCCACCCTCTGCAGTACTCTTGGCTAACTGCCCTGGCTGGCCTTGAACTTACTATCCTGCTTCAGGACCCTGGGCAACTGGGATTATAGTGTGTGTCACCATGCCTAACCCAGACACTTGAATAAATAATAAACTCATTCTGATTATGAGGAAAGGCCCTCATAGGTGAGCCTCAAATTCCCAATCTTTGGGGCTGGGGATTTAGCTTAGCGGCATAAGTGCCTGCCTTGGAAGCAGGTAGTCGTGAGTTCGATCCCCGGTACCGATAAAAAAAAGGGAAAAAGACAAAAAAAAAAAAAAAATTCCCAATCTTTTTTTTTTTTTTTACCGGTACCAGGGATCGAACTCGCGACTGCCTGCTTGCAAGGCAGGCGCTTATGCCACTGAGCTAAATCCCCAGCCCCCCAAATTCCCAATCTTACCACTGGTCTAGTTTTCTCCCTAAGATAGCCATGTTAAAGCAGGGTTTTAAGGACAATAGATCAGGTTTGCATTTTCTTTGTTTTTGGTTTTTTGAGATAGGATCTTACTATGTAGTTGAGACTGACCTTGAACTCACCAGGGAGCCCCGGCTGATCTCAAATTTGAGGATCTAATCCTACTGCCTGAGCGCAGGGATTATAGGTGTGTACTACCATATCCAGCTAGAGCAGGTTTTCTGACCGGATATGTCTAGGTAAATTCCAAAAAGTATGTGATAGGATGGGGCTCTGTGTCAGGACATTACTGCTTTGTCTTATGTTGTGTATCAGTTTAATCCAGAGAAGGTGGAAGTAGTGGGACCTGATAGGGCTATTTGGAGAAGCCTTATCCTTTCCCCTCAGTATACCCTATTTTTTCACATTTACCCACTGACCTGGGACCCCCACGGGTCAGCCTCCACGTCTTGTCGTCGATAGTAGTATGCAGCCCCTGCCACATGGGCTGCTGTCTGGGCCAGGATCTTAGGACGCCGATTAGGGTGTAGCTCATAGTCAGCAATGACTTCTACCTGCAGCTCTGGGAGGCTCTGGGACAGAAGACAGGATCTTGTGAGCATGAGGGGAGTTGATTTTGTCCTGGAGTCCTAATTTGTGTGTTTGCTATTGTGGCTCTGTCCTTAGAAGTCTTGTTTGAAAGGAAAACATGCAGTTTATGTGGGAATCTCCAAAGTGAAGAAAGTTATAAATCTTTTCATGAGGGGGGCTGGAGACTTAGCTCAGTGGCATAAACGCCTGCCTTGCAAGTGTATGGTTGTGAGTTCGATCCCCGATACCGATAAAAAAGAAAAAGACAAAAAAAATTTTTTCATGAGGACCCATGTTTGAAGGAAAATACACAAGGTCTTGCTCGATAACCTCCATTGTGAACAGTGATTTAGCTTTGCTCTTCAGAATCTCAGTGTGGCAACACCCAGCACATGCACACATCTGTGTATATGCTGTTTGTGGTGGTAAAATATTTCTGTTTCCTAAAGGCCCCAAACACTGCATAAAGCTTGCAAATCTAGGGCAAAGCAGGAGAGCAATGCCTGGAGGGTATTCGGCTCATTCCTATTCTGTCTGGAGGTGATGACTGCCATCAAGTTCACAAAGGTGGCCATCAGTGTAGGGTGAGTGAGACTAACATCCTGGGGGTCTGCTAAAGAGAAGCGGCAAAAGTTGAGTTTGAGAAGGCAGAATGGCGTGAAACCACAGAATGTCAGAGCTGGCTTCATGGTATCATTTCAGAGCTGGCTTCATGGTATTTCACTTGAGAAGTGGCTCTTAGCCCTAGGTCTAGATCTTGGACTGAGATTAGTAAAGATGGAAGAGTAAGTTTGAGGGCTGCGGAAAATGGTGGCCTACTCACCTCTGTAACACGCCTCAGGTGGTAGGCCACACACTGATCCACCGGGTCGGTCAGTGGTTGGAGGTGGCAGCTCTGTATGAATGGTTTGAGGGCCCGGTCAAACATGGCAGGTGTGCTGAGTACTAGGAAGGCCAGAGTAGGTCCTGGAAGGGGTAGGTGGAAGGTTGAAGGCAGGAGTTCATTGTACCAAGCCACCTGGAATACACAGAAAATCTCAGGTCAGCCCAGAGAGCCAACTTGGGTCTCAGCCAAGTCAATACCTATGCGAGTATTCAAGGTTTCATACATTTGCCCCAGCCTCCATTTCATTGAATAAATTTTCAGTGATGCTGTATCATATATGCACATTGTACGTATGGGCAATTCATTTGAATTTGACAGGGCTCTTTTTTTTTTTTGTTTTTTTCGTTTTTATCGGTACCAGGGATCGAACTCATGACTGCCTGCTTGCAAGGCAGGCGCTTATGCCGCTGAGCTAAATCCCCAGCCCGACAGGGCTCTTTTTTTTTTTGACAAGGTTTTAAAATAGAGCAGGCAGAGGGCTGGGAGTGTAGCTCAGTTGGTGGAGTACTTGCCTGTTATGTATGTACCTCTGGGTTCAACCCTCAGCTCTACAAAAGTAGAATAGAGAGGAAGAGAGTTCATAAACTAAGAACAGTGGAAATCAACCATACTATGATTACTACAATGATAGTCCTCTGAAATTACAAAGGCCTTCTTGGAAATTCAGTCTTAAAGGCTGGTAAGACAACTGAAGGCAGATGTTGGGAGGGAGAAACTTGAGATTTTTTTGGTAGAAGTGGTAGAGTCTATGTAGTTCAGGTCAGCCTTGAGCTCACTATGTAGCCCAGGATGGCCTTAAAGTTGTAGAGATCTTCCTGCCTCTGTTTCCTGAGTGCTGGAATACAGGAGAGTTTATTTTGTACCAGAAATTGAACTCAAGACCTTGTGCTTGCCAGGCAGGCATGTGCCACTAACCTATATCCCTAGCCCTAGCATTGAATTTTGAGCATTTAAAAATACATGCCAGGTGTGTGGTACATACTTGTAATTCTGGCACTCTGGAGGCTGAGGCAGGAGGATCACTAAGAATTTAAAGTCAGACTAAACTACAAAGTGAGACTTCTTAAAAAAAAACCCCGGGGGATTGGGGATTTAGCTCAGCGCAGCGGCATAAGCGCCTGCCTTGCAAGCAGGCAGTCGTGAGTTCAATCCCTGGTACCAATAAAAACGAAAAAGACAAAAAAAAAAAAAAAAAGCCAGGTCAAAACAAAATATAACAACCTCAATGCTGCTCATCTTTATTATTGCTTATACCTTTAACAATATTTTATTTTGTTTTTATTGGTGTATGTTTGGTTTCTTTCCTTTTTTTTTTGGTATGGAGAATCAAACTCAGTACCTCACACTTGCCATGCAGGCACTGTGCCACTGTGCTATATCCCTGGCCCTATTAGTGTGTATCTGTAATACACAAGTTTATTTATTTTGGGGGGATTGGTACCTCTATATCATATTTTCATCATTTTTATCTTTTTTTTTTTTTCTTTTCAGTACTGGGGATAGAACTCACAACCACACACTTGCAAGGCAGGCACTTTGCGGCTGAGCTAAATCCCTTGCCCCTTCATTTTTTTTTTGGTCTTTTTCATTTTTATCGGTACCGGGGATCGAACTCACGACTGCCAGCTTGCAAGGCAGGCGCTTATGCCGCTGAGCTAAATCTCCAGCCCCTCCTTCATCATTTTTATTTATTTTTTTTGTCTTTTTTTTTTTTTTTTTTTTTTTGTCTTTTTCCTTTTTATCGGTACCAGGGATCGAACTCACGACTACCTGCTTGCAAGGCAGGCGCTTATGCCGCTGAGCTAAATCCCCAGCCCCATTTTTTTTGTCTTTTTCGTTTTGATCGGTACTAGGGATCGAACTCGCGACTGCCTGCTTGCAAGCCTTCATCATTTTTAAACTCTACTCCTCACTCCCATTGTGTCAAGTGCTCTATCATTGAGCTACATCCCCAGCACTCAACCTCATTTTTTTTTCTGTCAAATTCTCTTCAAGCAAGCCACATTCAATCTATTTCACATTTAACATTCCATTGTAGCCCTGCTGTGGATCTCTGAGTGGAATGAGTAGGAAGTAAGGCTGTCTCTTAAGCTCCAGGCAAAGAATTCATACCAAGTGGATTTAACTTTGTGTTTTAAGTATTCAGCTTAGTGTTTAAAGTATACAACACTGGTGTGGGAGAAGCGAACTTATGTAAAAGGACTGGGGGTGGGGTGAGGGTGGGTGCCTGAGCCTTCCGTGCCAGGCGGGTGTTCACAATTTCTATTTCTATACTTGGCCCACCCCTGTTGGTTAACAACTTCATGAATTACCCTTCTGTTAGTACATGGAACAAACCAGCCAATTGTTTTTTTCTTTTCTGGTTTTTTTTTTTTTTTTTTTTTTTTGTACCAGAGATCGAATTCACTACCTTGTGCTTGCCAAGCAGGCATTTGTGCAGAGAGCTATATTCCTGGCTTTTTTTTTTCGTTTCACAATCTGATTTTATGGGTACATATTTAGATATACACCTGTAAATGATATAACTTGTTTTTTCTATTCCTCTTCCTCCCTTCAACCCCTCCCCCATCTACAAGTTTTGCTTCCAGTTTTTCCTTTTCTCTTTTTTACTTGCCTTCCCCTACTTTGTCCCTCTCCCCCTCTGAACATTTTCTTCCCATTTCACAATACCTATTATACATTTTGGTCCGTCCTTACACTTTCAGTTTGAGAAACAATGTGGTATTTACACGTAAGGTATTTACTTACGAGTATGATCTCTTTTACCTAATGTCTCAAAATATCTCGAGCTTCGAACTTTCAGTCATCCTCCTGCTGCAGCCTCCCGAGTACTGGAATTATAAACGTGCCCCATTACGCCCGACCCGTCAACTGCTGCTTTTTTTTTTAAATCGGTACCGAGGATCGAACTCAGGACCGCCTTCTTGCAAGGCAGGTTCTTATGCCGCTGAGCTAAATCCCCAGCCCCTCGTCAATTGCTTTTTGCTCAACACCAGGAATGACCTTCTTGTCTCGGTCAACCTAAATCATTGCCATGCCAATCTTCCGCGCCTTGCCCTCTCCTAATTCCTTTAGGAGCTTTTAAGGTGATCCTGACCCCACAGGTACCTTTTTTCTTGTAAATTACGTAGATGACAAAGCCACACAGGTTACAGGACCGTATAAAAGACATATGTGAGTAACAGGCAAAAGCACGACTGCTTCTTTCTCTTTCAGCGCAAGTCCCCGCTGAAACATTCATTGTCCCCAACGTTAGACAGCTTAGAGGAGTTGTGGGAAGAATCAGAACTGGTCTCAAGCCAGTTGTACCGAGGCCAACCTCACATCTAATCTTAAAACCGCAAGAGGGATAAACGAACCTGAAAGGGAGAGGGATAAACGAACCTGAAAGGGATAAACCTCGAAGCCAAAAGGACACAACGTGTCTTCAACCTTTTGCTTGAGCTCTGAGACCAGTGGATCCATAGCCCACGCTACAAAGAGCACACGCTGAGCTTTCTGGGAAATGGAGTCTTAGGCACAACTTGGCTGCTACTTTCCAAGACAGCTTGGACTCCATTTCCCATGAATCGCTGGGACCAGCATCGAATAGTTGGCTCTGCGCGATGCATCATGGGACTGGTAGTCCATTTATGTTTTAACACCCATTGCTGCAGAGCTTAGAGGACTCGGTGTCCCGAAAAGCTTCTTTGTGGGTAGGTAAACGTACGTATTTTTCCTGGCAAACGTAGGCCGGGCCATCCCTAAGTCTGGCTGGTTCTAAAAAAAGCGGGCGTAGTTTGCTGGCTGATGTTGCCATACCGTGAGATCTTACTTTCTTCCGCCTCCTCCAGGATTTGAACCTAGTGGCAGTGCTAAACACTGACACAAGTTTGGCATGATGGCGCCAGAGTCTCGGCGCCTTTTCCAGTCACTTGATATCCGCATTTGAGGGTATTTTGATTTTTTTCCCTGTTCCCCAAGAATGCCACTCCCTTATCTAGTTGCTGCCAGAGTCACAGTTTTGGCCTGATAGTGCATCTCTGACCCTGGTACTGCATCCTTACTCACCTCCTTTTATTCTAACGTTGTGGTCTTTCCTAGCTGTGCCTCAGGTATACTCTGCTCCGAGAGCAAGGGTAGACGATAAGCCAAGGAGCTAAAACCCTGCCACGGGATATGAGTAGGAATCTGAGCTGGTCAGAGCACCTCGATGCCTTTCTGAAAGCAACTGATGGAAATGTAGCCCGGATGAAGGTGAGGAGGCACAAAGTGGTTGTTTGTAGGTGGGACAACTATTTCTCTTGTAGCAGAGGCTGTATCCCCTGCGGGTTTCCACCATAGATACTGACTGTTCCTTTCTATTCCCCAGCCTTCTCTTTCTGAGATTTGCCTTCTTGCCGTGCCTGTACCATCCACTGTTCCTTCCAGATTCCAATGTTTCCTGAACTCTGTTGCCTCATAGTTCTTTTCTCTTACAGTTCTTTCCCACATAGACCCAGCCCTTGTGCCTTCCTTATTCCCTCATAGGAAACCTGGCTAGAACCTGGGTTTCCTCTTGTCACTTGCCTCCCCAGTTAGGAGCCCAAGCTCAACAGCCTTGTGCTCTAGACACTGTCCCTGTCCAAGAGAGTATGAGCAGGGCTGAAGCCTATAGACCATCATCTCTCCTGGATGAAGTTACAATTTTTCGATCCCAGCTTCAATTTCAGGTTCAGGGGAGGCTTGGAATTGTAGGTTTGTATTTATGGTGTATGTATGAGATGAGATGAGAATACCAGGTCTGGGAAAGCCGGTGGCTCATATGTTTTTTTCTTTTTGGATAGGTACCTGACACACTGAAGCAGGCTGTACAGTGCCTGCTGAAACAGCAGCAGCTGCAGATGTACAAGATCAGTTCCCTGGAAGGTATCAGACCAGTTTTTTCTTTTTTTTCTTTAGATACACAGTTTTGTTTTGATGCTAGGAATTGAACACAGAGCTTTGCATGATAATCATGTCTTTCACTAAACTACACTCTCAGTTCCATACACATGCAGCTTTATATGTGTGTCCACAATTTTGGGAGGAGTCACTGGGGCTTCCTATGTAGTTTAGGCTAGTCTTGACCTCACTATGGAGCCTAAGCTGGCCAGGAACTTTCCAGTGATCCTTTTGCCTTAACTTCCCTGGGATTATGGGTGTGCACTACCACACCCAGCTTGTGCATACAGTTTTTATGCACATCTCTTGTGTTCACATATCTTAATTTGCAAGTAATGTTCTCAGAGGGGCTGACCCTCAGCTTGTCACACTACAGCCTCATTGCTGCAGGGGGCCTCAGAAGGGCAAACCCATCTCCTAGAGCAATGGATGGAGGAGCTGAGAAGGGATCTGTTGGACCTTCAGATCCAGTTGCAGGAGCGGGCCCACAGCAAAGCCTGAATGGAAACAAAAATAGGAGAGTGCACTACTACCATTGTTCTTCATCAGCACCTACAGACCGAGTATGTGATGGGCAAAGCCTTACCTTCTTGAGGCATCTGAACAGCAAACTGGGAGAGTGATGGCCTCCTCACTCTGGGTTTGTTGATTAATTCTAGAATGATACTACTATCACTCATGTAGGTGGCAAATGCTGTGGAAGAAGTCTGAGATTCTGCAGAAGGAACTAAAGTTGCTGAGTAAGTAAAAAATTGAGGATATGTGATTCCTTGCCCACTTTTCTGGAGTGCCTCCCATCAAGTGGTCATAGATCTGCCTGTTTGAGCTACTAAGAAATCTGGTTAGTGTTCTGTCTTGATCTTTGCCTTTCATGAGTGAGTTTAGCCTCTCTAGTCAGCTTGGGAGCTTTCCAACAGTTGGCCCAGGAGGCTATTGTCTCAATTTTCAGCATCAGGCTGGTCACAAGGCAAAGAAGGAAAAGTTGGAGGACAGTCACTTTATATTCTCTCTCATCTGCAGGCCAGCACCAGGACCTACTAGTGAAACATATGGCTGAGGCCCAGCAGTCTCAGGCCTGCAGCTGGAAGGTAGGACCAGGAACAGACATGTCCTTTATATATTTCTTAATAAAGGTACCATCCTTCCTCTTTGTTCTGTAGGAGCCAAGATACCATTTTCCACTCCCATCTCCACCCATTTCTTCACTTTACCTAAAGTTCTTCTTCCCATTTCTTTTGCTCTAAGCCATGAGAAACTGTCCTTGCCCACATGAGGCAAGGACAAGTATGCTGAGTAGGCCAATTATAGGAAGAGAGTCTCTTCCTGTAGAATGAGAGGTTTCATCTTATCTGGGTTCATGGTCTGGCAGATGATGGAGCAGCAGCAAAGTAGCCAGGAAGGCAAGGATCACATCTTAGAGGTTGCCAGAACAAAAGCTTGGGATGCCCTTCAGGAGCCTGCCCAAGGTCAGGAGATGTGGATGCTGGGAAGGTGGAGAGAATTTATCTTTTTTTTTTTCTCTTTTTATCGGTACTGGGGATCGAACTCACGACTGCCTGCTTGCAAGGCAGGTGCTTATGCCACTGAGCTAAATCCCCAGCCCCAAGAGAATTTATCTTACAAAAGTCAAGCACTGGGGCCCAAAGTTCAGCTATTCTAAATTTGGCCAGAAGGGGCTAAAGTGGGTTGTAGCCCATAAAAGCAACATTGAACATTCATGATCTGGGATCACTAAAATACCTCTGTATGTTTAGATGGATCCTGGCTTCAGAAAGGAGGACACTCATGGCTAGGAGGCCCCCTGGACCCATCATTACCATCTTTACCTCTGATTCTGTTCTTTCCAGGTCATTCATGTCTCCCAATCAAACTGCCTCGGGCTACCGCCTTCACTTTGTCTCCATCTTCATCTAGCTCTGAAGTCAGTCTTCCAGATAATAACAGTAGCTGGGAACTTTTAAGAAAACTAAGTAGGGGTAAGATCATGATCCTGGTCCTAGGGAGAGTGAATCTGAATAGTGCTTGGTGCCTGCTGCCTAATGTGTGGCACTGGAGAGATATGTTCCTCTTATCAAACAGACCCAAGACCTAGCTCAGTGTATACCATAGTGCTTGCTGGTTTTTCTCTTCCCTTTTCTTTCCTCTTAGATCTCCAGAGGAGCACCCTTTCTAACCTCAAATGTAGCAGCTCTTGCCTCCATACTCAGAGTGTTAAGCAAGATAACCTATTCCTTCAGGACCTGAAGATGCTCCGGAGTGAGCTGTGAGGAGGATGTGTGAATAGTGGAACAAAGCCTCCCTACAACTTGTTTTTGGGCAGCCTTCCCACTCCTTTGTCCATTTGGAATGTGGTGTCTCGACTGAGACTTTTCACTGTCTACCTATCCCTTTTCTCTAGCTACAATAAAATAGCTAAACTTTCTCTGATGTGTCTTTCTTTCTTTTTGAGACAGGGTCTTGCTGTGTAGGTAAGGCTAGCTTTGAACTGTGTAGCCCAACCTTGCCTTGAACTCATGGTAATCATCCTGCCTCATAAGATGTACTGGGATCACAGGCATGCGCCACTATGTCTGGCTTCCGTGATGTGTTTTCTGAGTGATAATTCACATGAGATAGACTCAGCTATTCCCTTTTTCCCCCCATTAAGTGATTGCTTCCTGTGACTTCTACCTTTTAAATCTGAGACATCTATCGCTGTACCCTGTAAGTACACACAAATGAAGTTGGAAAGGGAGAGAAGTCTCCATTCTGGTGAGTTGAATGAAGTAGGACCCTGCTGTGGGGCAATAGTACTGTGGGACCACAGAGATTTTGTGGTGGACCCTGGAATTGGGCAGTAGATTTCCTTTCTTCATGTCCAACTTCTGCCTCCGGAGGCTTATTCCAGCCTCTCCACACTTCCTCATCCTTAGTAGCCCAACCTGTTTTTTTTTTTTTTTTTTTTAACCTAATGTGTTTATTACAGTATAGGAACTAATAAAGGTACGTAGTACAAAAACTGTAAACTTGGAAGGTTTTGTTGAGGGGCTGGGGATTTAGCTCAGTGGCATAAGCGCCTGCCTTGCAAGCAGGCAGTCGTGAGTTTGATCCCTGGTACCGATAAAAAGGAAAAAGACAAAAAAAAAAAAAAGGAAGGTTTTGTATGGTGCACATAATGTGATGACACTTCACCTCTATATAGTCTCACATCTCACACTCTGGTGCAGTTTATTCCCCCATGTACACTCCCGAATGACAAGCATCACAGATGAATATTTCAACCTGTGTTTCTTTTTTTTTTGGTGGGGGGAGGGTACTGAGAATCAAACTCAGGACCTTGTGCTTGCCAGGAAGGCTCTGTGCCACTGAGCTGTATTCTGGGCCCTAACTCTATGTTTTTTTTTTTTTTTTGTCTTTTTCCTTTTTATCAGTACCAGGGATCGAACTCACGACTGCCTACTTGCAAGGCAGGTGCTTATGCCGCTAAGCTAAATCCCCAGCCCTTAAGTCTGTGTTTCCATAGCAGCCCTTCCCTGGTCTCAGGTCTCTGACTTGAATCTAATAGTTATCAGAAATTTTTTTTTTTTTTTTGGTCTTTTTCCTTTTTATCGGTACCAGGGATCGAACTCATGACTGCGCACTTGCAAGGCAGGCACTTACGCCGCTGAGCTAAACCCCCAATCCCCTATCAGAAATTTTTGACTTTGACCTTCAATAAATATAGATGTACATATTTACCACTAAAGCAATAACTTCATGATTCAGTATTTATTAGGAGTCATGTACCTTGTTACTTTTATTTTCTTTTTAGATGCTGAGGATTAAACCCAGAGTCCTGTTCATGTTAGGCATGCATTATGCCACTGAGCTATATCCCTGTCTATTTCTATTATATTTCATTTAAAAAATGCTTGTAGCTAATGATTTTGACTCTGTGGAAAATATATTTTCCTAGCTATAGATAGCTTTATTTCTCCTTAGCTGGTCTTTGTGTTCTAGATACGCCACCCAAAGTTTCTTAAGAAGCATTAGGAAAAAAAAAAAAAAGAAGCATTAGGAATACATTTAGTAGTAAGGCCCTTTCCCACTGCTAAATGTAGGCAAAAGATAAGTGGAGAGCAGCCCTGGTATGTGTTTGCCCTGAGCTAAGATGTGTAGTGGGCTGTGGAGATGTCCCTACAGTGATTCAAATCCCACAGACTCAGTTAAAAAAGAAAAAAACTTGCCATCAACTCTTATTTTCTTGCTAAATCATGTACAAGGAACTGCTGTCTTTCACATTTTTTTGCTGGCCAAATGATTTATCCGTCATGGTAGCATTTTAAGACTGATTTTTCTTATTTATCAACTGCTTTGCATCAAGTTATGTGGGAGATAGGTTTGCAGGGGTGTGAGATCCTTCCCAACAGAAATATTAAACAGCAATGTGAATATTTTTTTTATTTTGTTGGCACATTTTATTTTAAAGACCATAAAACCCAACAAAACAAACCAGAATAAAGCCAATCAACACAAAGTAGTGAGATTGGTACAGAACTTGGAAGCAGGATAATAGAAAATCAACAATGACTCCCATTTTTCTTATCTTTACAATAGTTGTCTAATCCATCAGACATAGCAAAATCAAACCAAATAAAACAAAACTAATAAAAACAGAACATTGAATAAAGCAAAACAATAAATCAGAACAAAACAAAACAGGACAATATTGGTTTCAAAAACAAGATAGAAGAAAATCTCCCATATTTGCCACAGTGCATACTGTTACCTTCCTAATAGGTGCTCAGACCATCGGCCCCAGGAATGGAAAGTCAACCAAACAATAACAAGCATTCAGTTGCTTTTTGTACCTCAGTTGCTGTCAACTTATCCTGTCTGAACCAGCTGGTTGCTTACCCAGGGTGGAGGGTGGGTGGGGGAATGTTCTTCATTTGCAGCCTGTGCCAGGTGGGTACATGGAAATGGAAGATGCTTTCTGGCTTCTGTCTTTCTGGGCTCTGCATGGCTTGCTTGTGTGGCTTACTGAAGGAGTTAAATTGGTTTCTTCTTGATGGGTTTGTTGTCACATTTTAACTATACATAAGGATAACATTCATCATAAGGAATTTGTTCTTGTACATGATATACCTCTCTCTCTGTCTGTTTTTTGAGGCAGGGTTTCACTGTGTGGTTCAGGTTGGCCTTGAACTCACTTTGTAGCCCAAACTGACCTCCAATTCAAGGCCATCCTCCTGCTTCAGCCTCCTGAATGATGAGATTACAGGTGTGCACCACCATGTCCTGGATACCTCTGTTCTGTTTTTTTCCCCCATTTCTCTCCCTCTCTTTCAACTCCTTATTTACAAAACTCTTTACTTACAATTTATTTACAAAAGCTTAGTTTGCATTTTTTAATCCCTTCTGTTTTCTTTTTTCCTTTACTTCCTTTTCTGTAACAGTAGTATTTGAACTGTCACCAGGTGGCAGCACATGATTTGTTGCCTAAGAATTAGACCGAAAATGCTCTAGACCAAAGAACTGGATTGTGATATTTTTTCCTTTCAAAGGTTTTGTGAGCGATCAATTAATCTTCCTAAAGCAGTGCTCTGCTGAGATTATGCTCCTTTAACAGGATAGCATTTACAAAAAATAGATTTTAAAAAAGGATAGCATTTACAAAAAAATAGCTCTCAGCATAAAAAAAAAAAAGAGAAATTTGGCATATAAGCCACATTCAGCCTCTTTATTTTCTTTTTTCTTTTTTTATTCTCTCTCTTTTTTTTTTTTTTATCGGTACCGGGTATTGAACTCTCAATCACCTGCTTGCAAGGTAGGTGCTTATGCCGCTGAGCTAAATCCCCCACCCCTATTTTATTTTTTCTTTTTGAGACAGGGTCTCGTTATGCACTTCAGGCTGGCGTTAAGCTCACTTTGTAGCCCAGGTTGGTCTCAAAACTCGCAGTGATCCTTCTGCCTCGGCCTCCCGAGTGCTGAGATTATAGGCGTGAGCCACCACACCTGCCTTTTATTTTTTTTAAACTACATATCTTTCTTTAACTTCATTGCCACCAGGATCATCAGTAATCTGATTATTTAAATCCCACTAATCTGTCAAGAGCTCCCTCTTCCAGGAGAGGACTCTAAAGATGTCTGAAAGGAAGTGCCTATTCTCCATTGTCTTTGCTCTTGCTCACTTGTTGGAGCTCCTGGGACCCAGGCAGATGGAAGGTATGAGGAAATAGGTAATTTTTTTTTTTTAAAGACGGTCTTAGCTTTGTAGTTTAGGCTAACCTTGAAATCATGGCAATCCTTCTGTCTCAGCCTTCTAGGTGCTGGGATTACAGATATGCACCACCACAGCCAGCTGTACCTGTTTAACAGTTGTGCAGAATTCTTGTTTTTCTCACACACCTCTTCCAAAAACGTGTTCTCAGGCCAGTTGAGTGTTATTTCTTAAGTCTTAACGGAGCCCAGTCTTTTAGTCTGCAAGAATGTTTACCTCATGATTCTGTTTGTCTCCGTGGGCATGCCAGGATATTGCATTCACATTAATTCTTTTCTTTTCTACTTATTTTTTATATTTACTTACTTTTTTTTTTTTAAAAGACGAGGCTTTATAGTCCAGGCTGCCTTTGAAATCTCAATGTGGGGACTGCAGGCATGTGCCACCATCCCTGGATGGTTTTTCCTTTCTCAGCTATAATTTAACCAACCCAAAAACCGCGTCAATCTACCCCCTTTTAAATGGACTTTATCAATTACCAATCGTTATATCTTTGACACTTTGATTGGTCCATCCTGGGTTGCTGTTTCGCCCTCTGAGAAGCTCCTGTATTTATTTGGGTTTTCCTCAATAGCTGTCTCTGCTCGCGGGTTCTTCCTTTTAGATACACTGCCTCTTCTGTTTTTACCTCTACTTTCTTCTCATTGGTTCCCTTCCTCCTCAAAGAGTTGGCGCCTAGGGCTGTTGATTGGCTTCTCCGTATGCCCATTGTGCCCACCCCCATACCACGTGGCATTCCTAGCGCTAATTGGGTAATTCCACTAGTTCGTTTACCAAAGATCAACGTTTGATTGGCTTGTCTGAGGGAGGGCCTAAAAGGAGGTGTGGCCACATCCCCTCGCTCTCCAGCCCAGGCTTTAGCAGCTCTCGGCCGGGAGCCCCAGAGGAGCTTCTTGCTGCCCTGTAGGTCTCGCCGGCTGGTTAGTCTTCCGGGCCCCGCCAAACAAGTGCGGGGGGAACAGCCCCGACTGCTGGGTCATGGCAGCGGTCTCCTCGTCCTCGGCCGCTGCTAGCCCCGCCAGCTCGCTGGCTTGCGCGCGAGGGACACCCACTGCCTCTGCCGGCTGAGAAGCCGCCGTCTCTCGGAGCCGCACGGGCTACTATGCTCACTCTGGGCTGCAGCCTCCCGCGCCCGCGCTCGCTCCAGCCCGCGCAGGCTCCGCTTTGGCCGCTCGGAGCCT